AGCGACGGGTTACTATGTGAACGAAGGAGGAATGGGATTTATAAGAGGATCGCAAGTACGTCAGAGTTGAAATATTAAAGTCAGAGCTCAAGAAATGAAAATAATATGGACAGGGTAGGTTCGTAGACCTGAATAATTTCATAATTTGTTCTACTAAGAACTTAATGAAGTGTGGTTATGGAGGAGGGTGAGGTATTAGGGGTTATGAAACGGGCTAAATCACAAGAATAATCAGAAGCGGCAGTGTAAGGCGTAGAATCAGGCAAAACAACAAGCGGTTGAGGTGGTAGTTGTGCATCGCGTATTCGTTCTTCTCACCCTTTCACCTTACGTTCGTTTACGTCTTCGTTTGTGGGTGCGCCATTCATACAAATCACGCTCATTCAAATATTCTTGAGCGTTTCTATCGACTGCGTGTTGGCATTCTATTTGAGAAACTCAACTCCAACCCTCATATCAGTGGCCGATATCTGCCAAATCTTCATTCACCTCAGATTCGAGTTCAGAGAGGTGGTGCACTTTGTAAGAATTTTTGTCACAGATACACATCACTAGTAAGTTGCACGAAAAGCCATTTCGGTCTGCTGGAGCCGTCCTCTACATTATTTTCAGGCTCTTCACGAACAGGAGGTCGTATTGCAACCGATTCGGCGTTGTGACAGAAGAAAACGCAGAAACGGCGTGTTAAACGTGTATTGAAGGCGTATATATACACAGCTATTCTTAAAAAACAAAATTACTTAACGAAAGTTCCATAAATCTCACTATCCCTTACAACGCGAACTGGTTCATTTATACCATTCTTTTGTATTGCATTTCTGATTGATTGTTCCTCTGGGCAGTGGCCAGGAGACGCTTTTCCAAATGCATCCGATGCTTTGTTCCGAGATCATTCCCGTTCTGATTAGTCAGCGGTGGAATGGGCCCTAGGTTTAGTGTTCGATGGCCTTTGTTTTTGGTCCCTTAATGGGTGAGAATCCTTTCGTCCGTCCTTCATGTGAATTGTGTTTTCAGTCATTTGTTTAGCTGATGCTTCCTTTCGGTCCTTTGTGAGGAGACCACCAATTTATCCACGGTGGCAGCACACATTGAGCATCTAATTCAATGCATTTCATCGCAACTGATGAAAACTCGTCTTTGCAGTATATCAATTTACATAAAATTATGCATTCGTAACATAGAAGAGACTTTGCATTTGTCAAACAGCGAAAACGTGCTGGGAAATGGTGTCCAATACCACAGGAAATCATATTAACTGTAGGTTGCAGTATATATGACTTCAAAGTAAAGTATATATAGCAGAATGACTCCAGACGTGGATTATTTCTGTAATAAAATATATATGCGGATCAATCCCATAAGAAACATAAAGGCAGTGGAATTAATTTCCCGCATGAAGGAAGAATGCTCAACTTTCCAATATGTATATATAACTTGATACATATAGCAGACTTTATTCTTGCGCTAGTTAACCAGGGAATTGACTCGCTTGACAACAGTGAAACAATTTGAGTTTGGTGCATTTATCAGATGAGTTAGAATGATAACCACGCCACTTTCATCGTAGCTGTGAATTAACCGTCACTGATGCTGACTGAAACTTACGCGTCTCTCCTGCTGTGCAATTCCTGAGTCCTGATCTATAGCATATGTCTCGTCCATAGCTTTTATGTCTTTTATGCGTGCCGCACCTCAAGGTTGGTCTGTTTGAGTTGAGACCTCTTCTTTGATGCCCTGAAGGTTAATGGTCGTATGTAAATGGCAACACGCCAGATGAGAACGAACTACAGGTCTTTTAGTTGACTGAAGTACACAAATGGACCTTCAGCCGGTGTGATGCTTGCACAAACAAGGAACCAGACTTTTCGCGTTGTCACTGATACCTGGCTAGGGCGAATCAGTCGCAGTTCAGATGAGTCAGTTTCAGGAACTCCGCCATGGTGGCAGCTTCTTTAAAGTTCTACCGCTGTCAAGCTCATAGAAGCCTAAATTCACGGCCATTGCGGCAGTTTGAGTAGTATTCTGAAGCTGCCATGTACACAACGACCACATTTCATGGCCGTACCTCGCAAAATCGTTCCTCTGAACTCCAGGGCACAATTACAGGCAGCATCTTCCGACCTGCTGAAGGGCGGTCTGTTGTTGTAGTCCGCTATAGCAGTGAATTGAATTCAATAAGTCTATTGCTATTCCTCTGCTTTCGTGCATTTATGTAACCATCTTAAGGGAAGTTAGCTTACTTTAATAGTACGAATCAATTATTAAATGATACTGCTGTCGTAAAAATGTCTTATTCTGTTCGAAGGGAGATCATATTAGTTTAGTTTCGGCATGATTTCTGAAGTGCTGACAGACAAAGTTGCGCAAAGGTGACCAATTTATCATCAGTTTCTGAAATCATCTACGACGCATCGTTCAGCTTTTCTGTTCCCTCTTACTTGCTTATTGTCACTTCAAGAGGTACACAGATTGGTAAAAAATTTCACTATTCTTGCCTTGAAGATTAAAAGGGAACGGATTCCAGATTCTTCTCTTAGATCTTGTGATCTTTGACTGTCCTGCTTCTAAGTACAACTGCTATAAAAGGCATGTAAAGCTCTGTCAGCCCTGTATGCTATTACCTCTTTGGCTGAATGTTTTCGAGTCCAAAGATCTGATAGAGTGTGGTGGCTGCTGTAGCAACTTAGAACTGTACATTTCAGCGTTACGTCTGCCTTTCGATCTGTTACTTTGGTCATTGCCTGGTATCCGCCATGGGAACGCTGATAGTGGACTGTAAATGACCACATGGTATACATACTCTAGGAAAATTAATTACTATTAATAGATGAGCATTGTTATGTGCATGAATCGCTGTATCAGGCTTCTTCATCTTCATCTTCCATCGCCGCTTCTCCTTTCGGGTCGCGGAGGCAGACACTTCAGACAGAGCCTCCAACGTTCCCGATCCTGTGA